GGGGACTCGGCGGGGGGCGCGTCCGAGGCGGCCGTGGGGGCGACCTCGCGGCTCTGGAAGGCGAGAGATGCCGCGGTGCTGGGTGAGGGCCCGAGCTGGGGCCGGGCGAGGCCGGCGCTCGGAGCCCCCGCGCGGGGAAGTTGCCTGGGCCGAAGAGTTTCCTGCCCCGACGAGCAGGCTGTTTCCCTGTGTGTGCCTTGGTTTCCGAAAAGACGCCCGAGCGGTTCGGAGTTGGTATTGTCTGCAGAGGAGGGCTCTCCGCCGTTCCGAGTCGCAGAAGGGGGTGCCGATCAAGTAGAGACCCCGTGATGAGAAACGGGCTCCTAACAAAGATCCCCCCCAAAAAAACTGTGGAAGCTTGGCACCGGCTGGGAAGGTCTCGAGAGACCCCCGAGGCCCGACCTCACTTCGCTGCGTCTCTTTGAAACCTTTCTTGGGCTCCGGATAACTTGGGGGACGGCGGGCTTTTATTGATTTGTTTTTAAGGCTCGCCACGGTGCGGCCAATAAAAGGTTTATGACATCTGACCGGCAGTGAAGGTATGCGAGCTCCCAATTGCCCTGTATACGCGGTGAAGAGCAGTTTCCCGTTGCCTGGCGACGCCGCTGATTGACGCGGGAAACAGCCAATCGCTGCTCTCTCTGGTCCCCTTGAAACATTTTTGACAAGTACAGTAGAAGGGAATGGAGCGCGTGCGTGCTTGCTTGCGCGTGCATGGAGGGGGGTGGTGTTCCCCGGGCACCCAAACTCCAGACTGCCGGGTTGGGCTTAGGGAGGATTTCCCAACTTTTAAAAGTTCACGTTGAAGATCTGTGGAGAACTGGGCTATAAAGTCTTTGTCAGTTATTTGGAGGTATTCTGATACTCAGCAAGAAATTTAAGATTTTCTGCTGCATTTTCTCCGGGGGAAGAGGGGAGAAGGAGGTGACGACAGAGCAAGTCATTAAAAACACAAGGAAAAGAGGGTATGTGTATGTAGGGAATGTAATAACAAATGTAAAAGTTGTAAGGAGGTCACTAGTGGATAACCATTTGCAAATCTAGTGGAGCAACCTATTGGCAGCAGATTAAAAATGTTTTGCTTAACCGCGGGCTCACATGGCTAAAATCTTTTTTTTTTTTTTTTTCCTTCCTGACTCTAAGAGGAAAAAAAGGTTTGGGGAATTATGTAGAGTACAATAATGGAAAACTCTTCAACTGTGGTTTCTGGAAACTTGTTTCTTTTTTTTTTCCCCCCTTTTGTAAAATATGGAAATGTAGTGATCTGCAGCTGCCTATACTGTTCCTATAAGATAGGGAATTTTTCTGAGAAGCAGTTAACAGTGGGGTGGGGACGGGTGGGACACAAGGCAGACAAATGATCCTAAGGTACTGTACCCCCAACCTTCTTTTCTTCCTAATGCCATTTTTCTCATATAACCACGTAGCTGGCAGTGTTTGTTTAAAACAAAAGAAAACATGGAGAATAGCATGTTAGTTCCTTTGGGAAGCTCTGACAAATAAGCAAATTAAAAAGAAAGAGAGCAGCATGTTGTCATAGCAACAGTGCAATTAAATTACTTTACTGTCAGCCATGATATAATTTTCCTATTTGGAAGCTCAGGAGACATCAAACTTTCATTTGGCGCTAAAGTTGACTTGAGTAGCTGGGTAGTTCTCTTTTGGTTCTCCTGTGTGGATACACTGGTAATCAGAACATTGTCGAGTGGGATTTGAGAACACTTTTAAGAGAAGCAAGCCTAGCTCTTGATTTGTGCATTAAAAAGTTAAAAACAATAGCAAGTTGGACTGTCATATTCCCAAATCTAGAGATACGATCTTATTTTTCTCTTTAATGTGCATATCATGAACTGCTTGCTTGACAGAAAAGATTATCTCCAGTGGGTGAACCCCCAATGCTGCCCTCTGGGTTGGATTGGGGTGCACTTTGAATGGGCATGCCACACAGTTCTGGGGAATAGGTTGTGTGTTGTTCTGGGGGTGGGGGGAGTGCTGGGCTGCAGCTCTCTGGCTCCCTTGTTGGGGTTGGTGCCCATGTCACACTTTCTATTTTTTAATTTTATTTATTTTAATTAAAAATTATTTATTTGGTACAGGGTCTCGCTATGCAGCTTCTGTCTCACCCTCCCCAGGGCTGGGATTACAGGCATGCACCACCATGCCCTGTTTTGGTGGCCGGCTCAGCATGGGGTTTCAGGGCTGGCATGGCATGGCATGGCATGGCATGCAGTACCAAGGATCAAACCTGGGTCCTTGTGCTTGCCAGGCAGGTGCTTAGGCTGCTGAGCTATCTTCCCAGCCCACGTCATACTTTGTAGTATCTTGTAATAAGAGATTGCTTTGCTAAAGGGGCAGGTACCTTATAAATGGTGTTAATGGCGCCTCAGAACAATCATGTCTCTGTTTTTGATGTGTTTTTTGACTCATGGTTTCAGGTAGATTGCTCAATCTTACTGGAGGGTAAAAAATTGAAATCAAAAACTTCTAAAGCTGAGGTCATTCATTGTTTTAGTGATGCAAGTAGAAAACTAAAAAGGCTTTCTTTCTCTTTATACCTTCTGTTCAACCCTCTTACATGGAGGGTTGAACTCACTTGGTATCTGTGGATGCCGTTTTGTTCATGGACTTGCTGTTTCCTTGTTTCCTTTCTCATCAGATATTATTTTACTCCCTGTTCTAGGTCATTGATAAAAGTGGGGATGGGGGTAGAATTGAGTAACAATTTCTGTTGAGCTCGCTTTCTTGTCTTGAAGCAGCCAGTTAATCTCATGACTTTTTTCCCCCACTGCTAATTTTCGTTGTTGTTTTGTTGCTGAGGTATTAATCCCAGGCCCTTTACAAGGAGCTCTATCTCCAGCCCATTAAATCATTTTATTTCATTTTGTCTTGTTAATTTGCTAGGTTGCCCAGGCTGGTCTTAGACTTCCAGTCCTCCAGGCTCAGCCTCCCAGAGTACTGGGATTACAGGCATATGGCACTATGCTTGGTCTCATTTTCATTCCCATTTGTTTGTAGTATCTGAAGTTATTTACTTTTGTATCCTGGGTGTTTTGTCCTAGTGAAATTCAGTGTTTTCTTCCTTAAATTAGAATCCACAGAATTCCTTGTCATCCTCTTTATTCGTTTCTTTAAAAATTTTTATTTATTTGTCTTTTTTTGTCATCCTCTTTAGACTTACCAAATATAATGAAAGCTGGAGCTTGGAGCCGTGACTTATGTGAGGGGAAAATCTAACTGAACCAAATCAGTAGTCCCTGTACCTCTAGTTTTATTTCTAAGTACCTTGCAGTGGTCTGTGTATGGAAACTGCTTGAACTTAATCTGAAACACTGGCCTTAAATTTTATAGATTTTTCCCCCTGAGAACAGACAGTGCGACCAGTAGTAAAAAGCCCCAGGGGTCATGTATAGCACTCATTTTGCAGTGTTTATCATGAAGCTTGAAAGAATTTCGTGTGTAATGTATTCTTATGCTGTCTTGTAGAGCACCAAGGCACCCAGAAATAATTGATTTTTCATCTGGTCATGGTGAAAGTCTTCATATATCTAGGAAAAAAACATTTTGAAATTACTCCTTCTTTTTATGCCCTTGCACATTACGGGTGCTGTTGATATTCAGTCTTGCTCTAGTTAAGAGACACCAGGTCACTAGGGTGGGCTGATTGTTCTTGGTGGTGTCTCTTTGTGCAGTGGGACCATGGGTTTGTGTGGCTCAGCCAGAGCTATGGGGCAGTGCTGTTGTGCTGTTAGGACCCTTAGAGGAGGCATGGGACAGCAGGGCGTTAGGGCCCAAGCTGCATTGGTGGTCGGAGTCTCCCTTGCTCATCGCTTCTCTGCATTGTCTTTCCAGGAGCCTTCACATAAATGGGTCCAGTCATGCCTGCCAGTAAGAAGCCAGAAAGCTCAGGAATCAGTGTGTCCAGTGGACTGAGTCAGTGTTACCCGGGCAGCGCTTTCTCCAAGGCCCTTCAGGAAGACGATGACCTCGACTTTTCCCTGCCTGACATCCGATTAGAAGAGGGGACCATGGAAGATGAGGAGCTGACCAACCTGAACTGGCTACATGAGAACAAGAACTTGCTGAAGAGCTTCGGGGAGTCGGTCCTCAGGAGTGTCAGCCCCGTCCAGGACCTGGACGACGACACCCCTCCGTCCCCCGCCCACTCTGACATGCCCTACGATGCCAGGCAGAACCCCAACTGCAAGCCCCCCTACTCCTTTAGCTGCCTCATATTTATGGCCATCGAGGACTCTCCAACCAAGCGCCTGCCAGTGAAGGATATCTACAACTGGATCTTGGAACATTTTCCGTATTTTGCAAACGCACCTACTGGGTGGAAAAACTCAGTGAGACATAATTTGTCATTGAATAAGTGTTTTAAGAAAGTGGACAAAGAGAGGAGTCAGGTAAGCCTCTTGTCTGGAACTGAAAACTTTAAAATTAAACATTTCTCCATTAAAATTGAGTTTGTATCTACTACTGAAAGAGTAGTTCATCAGTGGTCTTTATTGGATTCATTTACCTAGAATGAAGACCTTCTTTTTCCTGAAGCAAATGGATTTCTTGTTGATGCCTTCTTGAGGGAAACCTGCTAATAGGTTTTCTGTGATCACACCACAGATGTTTGCAGATCTGATTGGTTCTCAGTGTCATCCCTCCATGTGGATGGTTTGAGAGTTCCAAGAAAGATCGGTATTCCAAGGGCAGCTGTTAGCCCTGAGGTGCTTCTGTATGACAGATATGGCTACCAAAAGCTAGAGAAAACTAGCATTTATGTCCTGTCAGATTTTTAACTGATAGAAAGATGACCTATCTAGGGTTCTGGAAAAAATGGGCAGTGATAACGCTTTGGGAGGACGCTGGCTGGTGTGCATTCCTATACTCCAGCATCAGTCCGAGACATGAGTTGCCAGAATCTTCTGTGAAATGTGATGCAGAGATAAGTGTCAGCCAACTTTGAAACTCCCTGAGCATGAAAAATTGGCTCAGGGTAAGGTTCCCATTAGGGCTGTATAGAAAGTCTTAGTTTATGCTTCATGCTCAGCTAAGAGAAGATCGTTTTGATAATTTTATTTTTCTTTTAAGGAGCATCACAGGTGAGGTAGGATGTTCGCGGCAGTGTTGAGAGGGAGAAAACAAAACTGGCATCTAACTTGGGGTTCCGGAAAGCAATGCAACAACATTTCAAAGAAATTGTCAAAAAATTTCCCTCTCTGTCACTGTCTCCAGCTCTGTTTTTCATGTTACTGATGCCACTGTGGGCAGCTGGTGCCCTGCTTTTCATGCTCATTGGAGTTTGGGCTGAGGCGCAAGATGCCTTTGTGGGGGGCAAGCAGCAGCACCAGCCTGGGGTCTTTTAACTTATTTCTCTCAAGAAAGAAATATGTGTCTGTTTTGAGGAGAATCTTGAACCCGAGAATATTCTGCTTGCTTTTGGCATGGAAGAATATGAATAGTGAAGTGGTCACCCGGGCTTTAGGTTGGAGGTGGTGGCGGTGGTGCTGGGCTTGGGAGTGCATGGTGTAGGAAGAAGTCATGGCCTCCAAGGAGCGTGACTTTGATCACTGGTTCCCATGATGCTTGGAGCAACTCTACAGTCGTGACAATCGAAGTGGGCCACGTTTAAGGAGGAAGGACAAGTTTGGAGTCAGAGAAGCCTTTTGCTACCTCCAGGTATCCAATTCCCTCTCTCTTTCCTCCCTCCATTTCTCAGGCTGGGCATTTGGAGTCTAACACTGGCGTTGGCTCTGTGGGTACTTTAAGATTATTCTAGAAACTTAGAAGAGATTCGATACTCCCTTGTAAAAACACAGGCTGTGGAAGGTTCTGTGTAAGGTAGTATCTGTGTGACAGGAAAGAGAAAGTCTGAGGAACAATTCTAGACCTAAAATGTAGAGAGGAAAGATCTGCTCAGGAACCCCCAAAGCCTCATGTCACTGATAAAGCAATCCACAAGGTTTTTAGTTTGGTGCGAATGATTCTGCACGTTACAGCTTGCCTGCATTTCTGTGTTTGACATAATGCTGGTGCACGTGAAAGAAATCGGCAAATGCACACACTGCAATGTTAAATAAGACCAAGGCTGAAGTACACAGTGAGACTCGCCAGGGTTATTCATCATCAGCCCTGGGAGTGTGGCAAGCTGGTGTTGGGCGAGGCAGTAAAGCTTAGTTGGAGGAACTCCATCTACTCCCCCTCCCCCGGAACTGCATTGGATTCTGGGAGTCCTCTTTTCCAGGGGTGATGGTTGTCAGTCTGGATAAACAGATAACATCTGTTGAAGGGGAGTGGCTTGAAGGATTTGAGATTGTTCATCTGAAATGGTGTCCTGGCTTCCTAGTGCTGACCTGTATTGACACGTTTCTGATCAAACGCCAGTCAGTGTTGTGCTCGGGAGTTTGTTCCCGATATTTGCAGTGCTGTGAGAACAAAGCGAGAGTTGTGAGTTTTGCCTCTTTTTTCTTCTTCGGGTGACCCTGGAGCCAGTTGTACCTCTGAGAGGTACAACTGCCAGGTATGCTCAGGCTCTCCCAGGTGTGCTCAGCTGTCACCAGGTATTTCAAGGACTCTGGCTCTGGCTGGCCTTCTCACTTGGGCTTTTCTGGGCTCACTGAGTACAAGGGAAAAAGCGTCTCCCTGCTGCTGTTCCCAGTGAAGGCCCCTTCAGTTGGGCAGGCACACTTGTTTCTTTCCCAGGAATTTTTACCTGGCCATAGCTACTATTCCAGGCTCAACCTCCACGCAAGTGACTCAGTAGATCTCCATGTCAGTAAGAAACGCCTTAAATGAAGGTGGAACGGAGGCCTTGCAAACGGCACGCAGAGGTAGACAGAAGAGGGCACGGTTAAGGCTGGCATCATATGGAGAATGTGGAGTCCCATGCGATCCTTGACGCAGGCTTGAGTGGAACATGCAGCTGGCCGCTGTCTGGCTGGGCTGGCACGGCACTTGCAGAGCTACAGGGTTGCATGAGAAGCGCCTGTGGCTCTTGAACACAATTACCATTTCTCCAGGGCCCCTCCCTGGAGAGCTTGGCACTAGGTGGGTTGGGAAAAACTGATAGATCTGATAAGCCGCCTAGGTGTGTTTCCGGTGCACGGCCAGGTTTGCGGATCCCTGAGTCAGACACTCTCCTGAGCTTTTTTTTTTTTTTTAATCTCTGAGGTGACATCAAGCCCATTATCTCATGAATGAGCAAGTCAGAAGAAAATAGTTTTGCTTCCGTTTTATCTCCTCAACAGCTTCAAAAACTAGAGTTTTAGTTTCTAGTCATGCACATTTTCAGACATACACGGAACTGGAGAGAGGAATATAAATCTGCATAGCCACCACCCCTACGGCCCACACCCGGATTCAGTAGTTAATGAGGACTTGCTTTACTTCATTCTTCGTTATTGGCACTGCTGAAGTATTTTGAAGCAAATCCTAGATCTTCATGTCATTTTAACATACTTTAGTATTGATGAGAATAATTGATAGTTTCTTATATAGCCACCTTGCCAGCTCCCACAAATAAAACGAGCAATTCATTAGTGTCACTTAATAACAGTTCTAATCCAGATAACCCCGTTTGTTTACAACATGTGTTTTTTGTTGTTGTTTTTGGCTGGCTCAGCCTGCCCTAGGGGCAGGGCTGGCTCAGCATGTGGTGCCAGGATCCAATCACAGTCTCTGCACTTGTGCTTGCCTAAGCTTGCCCAAGCAGGCACTGTAGTCCGCGGAGCTACCTCGCCGGCCCCTGTAATATACGTTTGAATGAGTATCCGAACGTGGTCTGTGCCTTGCGTGTGGCAAGGCTGTGCTCTGTTTGTTACTGTCTTTGTAGTCTACAGCACCCGTGCCCTTCCTTGTGAAAGAGAACTGTCACTTAGCCGTAGAACACCCTCTGCTTGGCTGAGTTCCTTGCTATTTCATTTACCTGTTTTTCCATCCCCTTGAATCGAGGTAGGCTCTGAAGTCTAGATCCCATTTTTCCCCGACTCTGTTGGAGGCAGGCGTCTCCTGCACTTGGGGAAGCTGAGTGACCCAGTCCTGCAGGTCAGCCTTGGGTTCACATGGGGTCAGCTGTTCCTGACTACAAAGTGGCACATCTGCCTTTTATCTTACAGTTTCACTTTTGGATGATATTTATTTGGCTAAATTATTATTATGATATATTTTTTTTTTTTTTTAATTTTAGGGAAGAGTCTGCAGGGTGTTCAGGGTCTCACTACTAGATCAGACTCGTAGTGATCTGCCTGTTTACAGCCTCCCAAGAGCTGGATTACAGGCGTGTGCCATCACTCCCAGTCTCAATTGCCCTGTCTCAGTTGCGTCTTAGCGTGCGCTCAGGGCAGGGCTGGCACAGCAGACCTGGGGATCGCACCTCGGCCCCTGCTCTAATCTGCTGAACTATTTGGCCGGCCCTTTGACCAAACTAATTGAGGTTCAGTTTTAAAGTCTAGCTTTCTGTTTTTATCTCCAAAACACAGTTCTTAACTAGGACTATGAAATCAGCCATGTCCCAACCTCTCTGGATACTGGTAGGTGAGGAGCAAGGGACACTTATTTTTTATAGATCAGATTATCATGGCTCAGGTATGTGCTTCTGTTTCTGTGCTTTTTCTTTATTTCCCCCCTTGCCATTTTAGCAAAAATATTGTTAGCCTCTGCAGGTTTACTAAGGATACACCATACAAAAGGGTATTTATTATTTCTGGGGCTGAGCACTTTGAACACTGTTTTAGGTTATGCAGGAGGATACCTTGGCTGAAGGAGAACTGGACTGGAAGGGGGTGCTCCTGCTTCCAGGTTGGGTGTTGGAGCTCCTGGCTGTGTGGGGATGTGTATTCTCATATACAGAGGTGGGGGGTTGGCTTTTCCTGAGAGTTTTTTGACCTGGGAGTCTTCGAGTATCAAAGGCTGTAATGGGTGATCACCTAAAATTACTGGCTGCATGTCTTGGGTCAATACAAATGTATTTTCTAGGGAGAATAATCCTAACATTTTGTTTATTTCGTTTTTAGGGGTATGTGTGTGCACATACGCGCGCATGTGCATGTGTGTATATGTGCGCGTGTGCACAGTAGAAAGGATTAAACCCACGGCATTTGCCCTAAGTTATATCCCCAACCATTTATTTATTTTTTTAAATTTTGAGACAGAGTCTCACTAAGTGACTAAGGTGCCCAGTCCGGGGTCAGCTTTGCAGTCCTTCTGCCTCTGCCTCCAAGTGTGCTGGGGGACAGGAGTGTGCTGCCATGCCTGGCTAGTTCTTAGGAATGGACACGTAGAAGGGTAAGGAGCATCTGAATGACAGTGATGACGTATGGAACATCTGCCTTGTCCTGCCAGTTCTAAAGCTGTGTGCCTGACCTTTGTGCCAGATTATAACCCAGTCTGGCAGTTGCTGTGGGTGACCTGCATG